TTTCCATTAATAGACTTGGTAGGTGAATTAGAAGGGGAGCCCATGGGCCTTTTCCCTTAAGCTTTAGTCATCTAGTATATCTTGATAGATATATTTCTTAATTGTTGGACTATATCTTCCAATATTTATTGTTGATTCTCTTGCTACATCTCTTGTTGTTGTTTCATCCCTGATATTATCTCTATCAACCGTGAAACTTTGGTTCCTTTAGTCATCTGAGGAACGTTGCTTTAATACCACTTGGAATGAGTTTGAGTTGTTATTTTAAAAAGAAAATGGAATTTATTCCACTTAATGAATCTTGATAAGTCTTTTCCCTTAATCCTGGGCTTACAAATAAGAGTTTGTGGAAATTAAAATTGAAGAAAATAAATGAAGAACATAATAAAAAGGGCAATCTAAAATAAAAGTAAACCCTAATTAAATCTCTAGGCAGCTTCGAGGTAGCATAGGCCTCCTAAGATGAATGTGATTTGCTACAAAGCAATTCCCTACCTTTCTGGTAACCCTTCCTCCTTTTTTTATTACCACCATTTAGGAGTTTAAATTTTGAATTTAAGATGAGGTTTGCCTACTAGGTTCTTGATCTAATTTGGATGTTGACCCTTTCTCTTAACTAAACACTATTGTTATTTGAAATTGAATCTCCTTACTAGTTGTCAGCTAATGAGGACTCTTTTCCATCACCTTCTATATAAGTTATTCTATCCCATCTTAACCCTTTCCATCAACCTTCTATATAAGTTATTCTATCCCATCTTAACCCTACACATGCTCACTTTATCTATTTTCTTGCAAGTACTCTGGTCTGCCTATCACTTTCCTTTTCCTTCCAGAACTTAAAGGATCCTCTTTTGTGACTCTGCTGTCAGATTATTACATCCTAAGTTAAAGCCTCGTCCAGAACTTAAAGGATCCTCCCTTATGACCCTGTTGTCAGATTATTACATCCTAAGTTAAAGCCTTCACTTTCATAAGACATGATTCTTTAGCTACAATTGCTCATTTATGTAACTTTTTTTGCATAGCATTATTGCTTCTTTAATGACTCGTTATTCTTACATTATACAAAATACTCGTCACATATAACAGCAACGAGTGTTATAGTACTCTTTGAATCATCGTTCATAACTGGTTATTTTCTTCCTCTTTTTTTGTTAGCATTTCTTCATTTTCACTATCATTAGCAACCATTTTCTCATTATCAAAATCACAAACAAAGCCTAGACAATTATATTTCACTCATCTACCTTGTCTTAAATCTCAATTGCTCTATTTCATCAATCTCTTATTCTCCTTCACTGAATGCAATCACAAAATTTGATTGTTCTCTATCACCTACGATCGTAAAATCTAGTAAGGTAAAGGTATTTAATGTTTAAGTTATATGGGTTTGTAGATATAATCTTTAGCATTTGAAATTAAACAAGGATAGGGGAATATTTGATTTACTAAGATATATAACTGCGAATAATCTTTATTTTAAATGTTTTTATAAAAGAATAAACAATCTTTTGATTTTTCCTTTAAATTTAACATATGGTGACATGATTTATTTATGAAATCAGCAATTTTTATACTTTGTGATAATATAAATTTTGGCATATATTAAGAAATCAAATTTGATCATCTGATGCTATGAAGAATACCTTTAACTTATCTTCAAATTGTTATTAGAAAAACTCTTATGGAATATTTAGGTTTGATCCAATAAAAATTTGTTTTTTGTAAACTTTAAGCATGGATGAAGAAGACTTGAAAGCTTTTGAGAGGACTTCATTACTTGAAGAGCTTGTCTTGAGAAAAATTTTGTGTCTTCAAGAATTTTTTTATGTCTAGGGTGAGACCCTCTATTTATAAAAGATTCGTATAGGTTCTTAGGTTTTTTTCCAATGCCATGCGATATTATTTTATTGGTTGATTTATATTTTTGAGATTTTATATTTATGATAAGATATCTTAAATATCTCATTTCATGTGCCAACCTTTTATTAGTTAAGAAATACATAAAGACTCCTTTATTTTTCATGTATTTACTTCAATTTTATATTATCCTTTCATATAAAAATAAAAAAAATAAAAAAAAAAAAATTATATAATTTAATTAGTAGAATTTTATTTTTTTTACAAATTCTCGCTCGAGACAAGCTCACTTACACTTAAAAATCAGCATGCATATGTCGAAAATATGGTTGAAAGGGTTTATACATTAAATATATTTTTGTATTAAAATATGATTTAATCATATTAAATTTCATTAAATTAATATAGATGTATTTTATCATGAAAATAAAATATAATTATCAAAATTAAAAATGATAATATTGAAGTTTGATGGCTAATCTAAAACAATAATAATCAATAACTTTAAACAACTAATAAGGGAATCTATAGCATGTATATTTTCAACTATTTATGTTTCATGATAATATTGAAGTTTAATGGCTAATCTAAAACAATAGTAATCAACAACTTTAAACAACTGATAAGGGAATCTATAACATGTATATTTTCAACTATTTATGTTTCATTTTGAAATATTTTGGATGTGATGCACAAGATAATTATAATAATAGATCCTTTTTTAAACTATTGACCTCTTGGGAAATTAATGTATTTTCAGATACTAGGTTACTAAGTAGACAGAATCCAACAGTAAAACCGAACATTAATTTATTGTGTGCTATAAAAGAAGTTATACAACTCAGTTCCATATGTTCATCACTATTTTTAAAAATCTGAGATGAAGGTTTACAAAACATATGAAGGGCATATAACTCTGTTTTGCTATTTCGAAGCCCAAAAAGTAAGTAAAAAAATAGGGATTGAATCAAATCCGAAATTCCTGCACTCCAAAAACTATCTCAATTTATGGCCTTTATCTCAAGTCTCAAAGGTTCAAAAATTGCAAGATTGGTGTAGCTGGAAAAAAGATATGATTTTCTACAATATCTCCGAAAATAGAGATCTTTGAATTTGCACGTTTCCTACCTCAAATCTGGCCCGCAATGCTTAGAAAAATAAAGATCTTTGAATTTGCACGTTTCCTGCCTTAAATCTGGCCAGCAATGCCTAGGTGCAAAGGAATTCAAATTAGAAAAGAAAATCATCTTCATTTCAGCAGGGGTAAAAAAGCCACAATATAAAAGAAAAAAAGGAGGGGTCTGCAAGGAAAAGAAACATACATAGAGAAACCCTAAAATAGACTAAAGGAGAGAAGAGGAAGCGGCACAAAGAGGGGCAAAAAAAAGAGACAAAAAGAGAGGCAAAAATAGAAAAAGATTTAGAGGACACCTATCTATTTCACCGCCATTCTCTGCTTTTGAGTGATGTTTATCGTATCAAGTTCAAATAAAAAATTTTTCTTTATTGAAAGTGATCATCTTATTTTATAAGTCATCATCCTAAATACAATTACATAATCCATTCACACTTCTAACTAGTTAAAACTCTTATGAAAACAACAAGGGAAAGAAAAGGAGTTATTGGTTTATCATTTTTTAATCACCAAAACAGAGAATTGTGTAAAAGAGTTTCTCTTTCTAAAAAAAGTTCAATAATGTTGTTTCTTTTTATTTAAACATGACGAGAAAAGGAAACCAAGTTCCATATAGTTTATTTTAATTTGGATGATTTTTTTTAAAAGTGATTTTGGATTGTTAAGTGATTTTTTTGATGTTTATATAGTATTTTGAAAGTATCTTTAGGTTAAAAAAAGTTAAAAATAGAATTTTTAGAGTACGAAAAACATGAGCTCCAATTCCCTAGTAACTAGAGGTGAAAAAAAAAAAAAACCAATCAAATATTGGCCATTTACCTTAAAAAATAAAAGAAAACACATTGCCAATTCCTAAGGAGAAAAAAAACCATGTGCAAGCTTAATTTATCAACATCTAATATCTTTCTTTTAATTTTTAACCTATTCATTTAATTATTTTTATTTAAAGGTGTTATTAGAATTGTGGTGCAAGTTGCGTTCCAAAAATGTTTTAATTTTATTTTTATTTAAAGGTGTTATTAGAATTGTGGTGCAAGTTGCATTCCAAAAATATTTTAATTTTATTTTTATTTAAAATACTTTTTTATGTTTTTGAATTGTTTTGATATGTTGATGTTAAAAATAATTTTTTTAAAATAATTTTTTTTTATTTTAATATATTTTTAAATAAAAAATATTTTAAATCGACACCGCTATCACAATCTCTAACATGGCCTAAATATTATTTCATTCTCTCTCTCTTATTTTCTAAACAAATTAAATTAACTTTGTTTTTTAAATAATGATTTATTTTTTAGTTTTTTAAATTGTATAATACTTCAAAGAGATTAGTTTGATTTATATTGAATTGTTTTCCTTTTAAATTTTATATGTATTAGTTGTATTTGTATAAATTTTTTATAAAAATCAAAATCATTTATTATTAGCAACAATATTTAGCCACTAAAATAAAATAAATAAATAAATTTAAAATAAAAAAAGAGTTAGTGTAAAACATTTGTAATTAGATCTATATTTTATTTTTACCATAAAAATTATTTTTTATTTTAATACTTAATTAGCATTAACAAAAAAAATTTAATTTATATATTTTTAGTTTATTTTATAAAAGATAAACAATATATTTTGTTTCTCAATTAAAAAAATAATGATAAATAAAAATATATTTATAATAAAAATTTTATATTAAAAGCTAACTTAAAACCCAATAAACATGATCTCGGAAACGAATTTTCTCTATGAAAAAACAAAATTTAAAATGATTTCACAGCATTCACATATTTTTATTATATTTAAAATTACCTTTTAATTCTATCTCAGTATCGCCGATGACAAGACTAGCATGCCTGCAGTCTCCTTAAGAGTATGAGTTTTTTTTTTTAAAAAAAATAAAACCCGAGAGAAGCGGTCGTGTCACGTGTACCATTCTCACCCTCACAACTCACAAGCTCACACTGGACCCCACAACCTTTCTCCATCTACTCCCCATCATCTTATTCCCTGTGACTGCAAATGCAAGCATGCAACACAAAAGAAAAGCACAGAGACAGCACAGATTTTGTTTTATTTTACACCACACCGGAAGTCCGAAGCAAACAACGAAGATTAGCTCTCTCTTTTTTTTAATAAATGGAAGAGGTTTCAACGGGGGCCATTGTCCCAGCGGTAAAGCCAGAGCCGAAACCCTCAACATCCACGGCTGCCGCAGTTGCGCCGCCTGAGCCCTCCTCCGCCCCGAGCGCAGAAGATGCTGAGCTGGAGAAGGATTTCCTCTGCCCGATTTGCATGCAGATTATAAAAGATGCCTTCCTCACAGCATGTGGTCACAGCTTTTGCTACATGTGCATCACCACACACCTCCGTAACAAGAACGATTGCCCTTGCTGTAGACATTACCTCACTACCAATCAGCTCTTCCCTAATTTCTTGCTCCAAAAGGTTTTTTCTACCTTCTATTTGCTTTTTAATATCTCGAACAATTGAAATTAGCGATTTGTTTAATTTAAACTGATTAATTGTCAATTTTGAAAAAAAAAAAGGGATTGAAAACTAAAATAAATAAATAAAATTTTTGAAATGATATTCACTTGGAAATTGCAGCTCATTGTGAGTTGTTGTGTGCGGTTCACATGTGTAGCTATTAAAGAAGGCCTCTGCTCGTCAAACATCCAAGAATGCGTCGCCTATTGAACATTTTCGCCAATCCTTACAGCAGGTCAGTCCGTTGCATTCTAAATCACTTTAATTTTGGTCTTCACCTTGTAAATCACTTTTTGTGATTTTAAATGAGAGGATTAGGAGAATTTTAGCTTTTCATAGAGTTGGAAGGGCGATATGCTTGTTACTCACATAATTTCGATAAGACCAGACTGGCGAAAGAGCTCCTTGGACCGAATGCTTATAGTTGTATTTTGAGTTGTTAGTTTAGTGATATCCTACCACTGTTAACAATTGTAAGAAATTTGCATGAAATTTTTACTCTGAAAAACTATATGGATGTGTGATTGTTTATTCTGCATTCTCTGAAATTTTATTGGGGTTGTTTAGATGCAGAAAACAGATTAAGTCATGAACAAAATTGATTTTTCCTTTCACATGCATGTGAAAATGACACATTCTCGTAATTGTTAGTCAGGGTTGTGAAGTTTCAATTAAGGACCTGGACGCCCTCATGTCACTTCTTGCAGAGAGGAAGAGAAAAATGGAACAAGAAGAAGCCGAGAGAAATATGCAGGTGCTGCTAGATTTCTTGCACTACTTGCGGAAGCAAAAGATGGATGAATTGAATGAGGTATGCTTCTAAATGCTTGGCCTGTTCAATCCTCATCTCCCTTCCCTTCCATTATGGATGGATGGATGGATGGATTCTTACTTTCCATTAATATCTTCCTTTGTGTTTCTGTGTTTTCGACTTATTTGATTGTTGATGGACCTGCCATCCATAATGTTTGTTGAGATGGTTATATTTGTTGATAAATAGTTTGATGGATGGATTCTTACTGTTGTAGGTACGTACCGATCTTCGATATATTAAGGAGGACATAGATGCTGTAGAGAAACACAGAATTGAGCTGTATCGTGCCAGGGATAGGTACTCTATGAAATTGCGAATGCTTGGAGATGATCTCACTGTGCGAAAACCGTGGGCGTCAACAATTGACAAGAACCACAGTGGTGTTGTCACCAGTTCTCTTAATGCTAGAGGGCTGACTACTGGGAATATTCCAACCAAGAAAATGGATGGAAAGGCTCAAGTAAGCTCTCATGGGCTCCAGAGAAAGGATACATCAAGTGGGTCTGACCCGCAATATAATCACTCAGGTTTATCTGCAGTGAAGAAAAAGCGCGTGCATGCACAGGTTGGTAATCTTTAATGGAGTTTGCTGCATGTTTGTTAATGGGAAGTATATAACTCCGACTCTTCAATATACAAGTATTGCATGGATAACAAAAAGACAAAAGCAAAAAAACCTAATGCTATTGGTCAACCTCATTGTTTTTAGATGTCAATACAGCTAGTAATCTAGCTCTGCTCAACATGAAATAATCTCATCCTACTCATATTGAGCTGATTATGTGTATATTATTGTTGCGGTGTGATTTCCTGGATTCCTTTCTAGGAACCACTTTTAGAAACTTTCAAATGATGTTTCATTTTCTCCTTGATTCATTTTTCTTTCATTGCAGTTCAATGACCTGCAAGATTGTTACTTGCAAAAGCGCCGTCAGTTGGCAAATCATCCGCATAACCAGTCAGAAAGGGATAAAAATGTCATTCATAGAGAGGGCTACAATGCTGGTCTTGCAGATTTTCAATCTGTGCTGAGTACATTTACTCAGTACAGGTATAAATATCAATTTTCATTTCATTTTTGAAATATTTTTATATTACCACGTTTTTATCTCATATGCTTGGAGTTCATGTGTATTTTTCATTTGTTTTTTTGACACAGTCGGTTAAGGGTCATTGCTGAACTCAGGCACGGGGATATATTTCACTCAGCCAATATAGTATCAAGGTTAGTTAACACTATTGAATGCCCATCAGATTAGGTGTATTTGGGGTGACAAATTGCTTTATTTTTCTTTAGGATACTTGAATACTTTATTATATTTCAGATACAAAATTGTGCTGGAGCAACTGTGAGTTGTAAATATACAAGTGGTGTTTCTTCACAAGGAAAGTAGCTTTTGTCTTTGGTGAATGGTATCCCTAAATAATTAGCAAGTAATCTACAAAAACATTTCGATGGTTAAAATAATTGGATGCAATAATTGGTAGTTGGTGTACTTTACTGGTTGAAGTGGTGGAGGGTTGGTTTTCATGATGCTACCTGTAGCATTTGTTGAACATGTTATTATTCTAATGGAACCAATAAACTCTTACTTGAGTTATCAATCTAGCTTCTCTTGTCTTTTGTCTTGTGTTTTATGTTTACTTTTATATTTTATTCAATGCTTCTGAATTGTATCAACTTAAAATGTGGATTGCAGCATAGAATTTGACCGTGATGATGAATTTTTCGCTACTGCTGGAGTTTCACGGCGAATCAAAGTCTTTGACTTTTCTTCTGTAAGATAACGGTCTCAGTTTTTATTTGAAACTCCTTTTCATTTTTGCATAAAATGTCTAGGGAAACAAGAAAAAGAAATATGCTGTAGACAGAGTTATGTCCTGCAGTTTGATCATGGTAGTATTTGAGTGTTTACCATCCATGGGCGTATTCCATTGAGTAGTTTGTGGATTATAATAGAAAGTCTCATCAATTGTTTGATGGGTGTATTTTCACTAACATCTTAAAATTCTTCATTCTCAAAAATTCTGTGGAGAGCTAGATTCAATCTGACCAGAATACTCTTCTGTGGTTCTACCCGCATATATGAAACATTCTTTTTTTTTTTTTGTTTTGCAGTCAGGGGTATCCTGAGTGCAACTTTTGAGCGTCAGTAACCCACATTGAGATTAGGGGATTTATGAAAACTTTGCTTCTCTAGCTTGAGGTTTGTACACTGGTAGCTAAGGAAGGAGCGCACCCTTTTAAACATCAGGCCAGACTTCTGTGCTTATGAAACATGAAGAGCAGTGTTTTCATTTAATAATTTTTGGGGTACTTATTGGAAGCCATATTCAATTTTGTTGGACATATATTCCAATTTGTCCACATCTCGTGGTCTGGTGGTTTTACCATATAGGAACTCAGGAAATCTACCAGAGGAGAGCATTAATATAATACTTCCTGGTCGTTCGAGTTACTGCATTATAGTCTGAACATGAATCATTGTGTTCTTTAGCTGGTTATTTATCATTGATTATGCTATTTCCCTCCAGGTTGTGAATGAACCTGCAGATGTGCACTGCCCTGTTGTGGAGATGTCTACACGTTCTAAACTTAGCTGCTTGAGTTGGAACAAGTTTACTAAAAATCATATAGCCAGTAGTGATTATGAGGGAATAGTAACTGTTTGGGATGTGACAACCAGGCAGGTACTAATTGAAGTATTGTGGTCATCTTTTAATACTATCTTATTACTTATTTGCTATTACCATAGTTTGCTTACAAACATGTATTAACTTGGCAGAGCGTGATGGAATACGAAGAGCATGAAAAACGTGCATGGAGTGTTGATTTTTCTCGCACAGAACCTTCTATGCTTGTATCTGGTAGCGATGATTGTAAGGTATGCTAAAACTAATCTATATCAAGTCTAGTCTACTTACAACTGCACAGTCTAGAATCTCTACCAAAAAATAAAATAAAAAAATAAAGCAATATCTAGGATGGGATTGCTGTCCAGAAGAACCAGGCAAACCTGTGGTATTATTGTCCATATTTTATTTGGTACTCTACTTCTGGAAAATTCTGCTCTACTTTTCTACCAAGTTTGAGTTGGTTATACTGGTTTTTCATACTATAATTTTCAATAGCATTCAAACTCTTGCATTTTCATGGGAGGTTTTTTTTTTTTTTTTTTTTCCTTTTTCATTGCTAGTATGAAAAAAGCCCCCAGGCAATTTATTTGGTTTGGTTGTTAAAGCACTTCCTCTGTAAGCTTGCAAAGAGATCAATGGTGCCCTTCCATATCTTTTTTGCTGAAATATGAAGTTTATTTGTTTTTTATTGTGGACATGAAGAAAGTAATTTAATATGAAAATTCTAATGTTGGTGTCAAACGGGAAAGTTCAGATACACAGGTAGGTGCATGTTCCTGTCCATGAACACTGTTGTTGAATAGCTGTGATGAGCTGTTGAATGATGATAATTTGGGTTATGCTTCTGCCTGCTTTTCAAGATAAATTAGCAAAGTGCCTGTAATGAATGGAAAGTCTATGTTTTACATGGAAACAGTTTTATGTGTGAAGTTCAAGTTGTGAAGCATGTGCTGGCAAGACAAACAACACCAAAGTAAAAATATTATATGGTTGCATAGTCTTCCTCTTGAGTTGTATTATATTCAAAGGGAGGTACATTTTTACTAACAATATTTTGAATCTGTGCTCTATGTAAACCAGGTCAAAGTTTGGTGCACAAAGCAGGAGGCTAGCGTTCTAAACATTGACATGAAAGCAAATATTTGTTGTGTCAAGTACAATCCTGGATCTAGCAATTATATTGCGGTATGCTCCTGCAACGAACAACTTTCTTTTCTTTTCTTTTTTCTTCGAAGAGACAGATAACTATTCTTGACTTGGTCTCATTCTCCAAATCCATGTACCCATACAAAAGCAAGCATTTGTGCTGGATTAAGGCATTCTGCTATTTGAAATCCACTTTTGGGTTTATTTGGTGTTTGGGTTTGGGCCTTGCACACTTGATAAGGGAGTGGGATGATGTGGCCTGCTAACCTTTTATGAAAATCTTAACCTTATGGATTTGTTTGTTAGGAGGTGAAAGAGGGGGAATAGTTAGCCTAGTAACTTCCCACCCCCTCTCATCTTGTTTAGAACACAAAAAGAGTTGGGGGGAGCATTTAACCTCAAAAGTGAGGTGCATTGAGGGTAAGTTGTACCCTTGAAAACTCGTTTTTTTCAATATATCAATTTTTTTTTCCTTATGAAAAGTGGGGCGTTTTTGACATGTGGGTCCCATCAATTATCTTTATTTCCAACACATCCAACCATACACCGTTAACACTTCGCAGTTAATATTTTATTACACTCTTAATCTTTTAAAACTTAAACCTCTTAAATGTTTCACCTCCAAATTTTTTATCTGATACCAAATGCAACGTAGTGAAAGCATTTGCTTAATGTGACCTTGAAGAAAGGCTGGGTTAATCAGATGTGTGTAATGCACATCTTTCATGAGCTACCTTTGATTATTTAAATCACAAATTCATAACACTGTGGAGCTTCACCCTCTGGAATGGACATACTCCTGTTATTTATATCCATACAGAATATATATAACCTTATGGATGAGTTCTGAATTATTTTCAGGTTGGTTCAGCAGACCACCAGATTCACTACTATGATTTGAGAAATGTCACCCATCCACTCTATGTGTTCAGCGGGCACCGGAAAACTGTTTCATATGTAAAATTCTTATCTAACAGCGAGCTTGCTTCAGCGTCAACAGACAGCACATTAAGGTTATGGGATGTAAAAGAGAATCTGCCTGTAAGTAATCTGTTCATGAAACAGTTATGGCTGCACCTTTCTTTTTCAATATAAATACTATATACTAGCAATAATGTAATGTTTGAGCCTCAAAAGAGATCAAATATTATTTGCTTTTTCCCAAAAGAATTATTTCTATCTTGCATTTCATATCTTGAGTCTTCATACATAGATACTATCGATTCTCATAAGCCAAATTGGATTTTGACTTCGGACTCCATAATTTCAAATTGTTGATGGGAAAACAAGTCTGTTCATGAATTACACATGGAAAATCTTTTTCAAATGATGGTCGTAAAAAATTTGCAATAACTGAACCAATTAAGTTCTAAATCTGGATTAGTTTCTTATCCTGCAGTCTGAAAATTTTCTTGTTGGATAAATTACTGGAAGATTGTGCAGTAAAAAATTTGCAATAACTGAACCGATTAAGTTCTAAAACTGGATTAGTTTCTTATCCTACAGTCTGAAAATTTTCCTTGTTGGATAAATTACTGGAAGATTGTGCTTGCTTGATTAGATTAACTTTCATCCACGTTATTTTAGTATTCCCCTTGGCTTTGTGTGATTGGCATCGTTTCTTTTTGTTTCTTGCTTAAATGATATATATTAGGCAAAGTTGAATAGCCAAGTCACACGCCTTTTGAGTTATGCTTTCAGGTTCGTACCCTTAGAGGCCACACAAACGAGAAAAACTTTGTGGGTCTCTCAGTAAGCAGTGAATATATTGCATGTGGGAGTGAAACAAATGAGGTCTTTGTCTACCATAAGGTTAGCTATTAATAAAAATCAGCCTTCGTAAATTCTCATTTCCAAGTTCATCAATTTCATGTTTTGGCTTTTATTTTGCAGGAAATCTCTAAACATGTGACACGGCATAGATTTGGTTCCCCTGAGATGGATGATGCTGATGAGGATGCAGGATCTTACTTCATCAGTGCTGTTTGCTGGAAGAGTGATAGTCCTACAATGCTATCTGCAAATAGTCAGGGTACAATAAAAGTATTGGTTCTTGCAGCTTGAAAAATTTATAAAAACAAGAAAAAATGAAAGTAATACAAGCACAGAAAGAACTTGTGTTGAATTGTCTGTTCTGTTGTTATGGAGACAGTTCACTGTTTTGTGGATGTAAATTGGAGCCTGAAGCTGGGTGGATCTCTCTCTCTCTCTGTTTTTTTTTGAACTTTTGTCGGGGTTTTACAGTTCTGGAGGCTGTGAATTAAGGAAAATTATCTCAAGAAAAATTATTACACAACCAGTTTCATGCGGGTCAAAACTGCGATTGGTTGGTGCAGTGGACCCTAATATGAATACTGGGTGCTGCAACAAGGGCCGTGTAATGGTTTCTCATGGGTTAAGTAGATCTCATAGATCATGTAAATAAATTTTATTTCATGAAAAAAATAATTATCACGCGGACTTGGTTGATGTGGACATTTTTGGTTGGTGCAGCAATTATCATGAGCTTTGTTATTTCATGAAAAAAATAATTATCACACGGACTTGGTTGGTGCAGCAATTATCATGAGCTTTTGATCATCATCTCAATTTTGTACTTTGTATTTGACCTCGTAGAATCGATGGAGATTTAGCTGGAACTGATTCTCTTCGCTCTCGAAGTTGAAGAAGCTCTACTGTGACAACAGCTTTGAAAGTTATTTTGGTTATTTTCAAGCATCTGTGCTATAACTTTTTCTTAAATTGTCTTTTAAACCGTAACCACAAAAATTATAAGACGGTTGAATTATCTGAAAACATTAAATTATCTGACCCAGCATGCTTAAAGCCCCCCACTAATTAGTACACATCTGCAGACTGGTTTTTTATGGACCGTCTCTAACTTAACCAGGAAAACGCATCCCATATGGTTTGGCCATCAACGGCTCTAAATGCAGTGGAAGGCAGGCGACCTTTTGTCAATAAATTCAGAGAATATGTGCAATTTTACAGGTAGCCTCTTTTTTTTTTTTTGGGCAGGGCAAACAGCTCTTACAGCTACTACAGCACCAGCCTTCGCCAAAGCTTTCTGTGAGTGCAGAGGGAAATCATTTTCCCTTGCATGAAATGAAAAATGAAACAAAGAAAAGTGAAATAGTTCCCTTTCACCATGGCCGCTAGAGAGGTACAGAGGCAGAAAAGAGAAGAGTAAGCTCATCATAGCCGGCGCATATTTCTCATCTCACACGCACACATATATTACTCATAATGTGGTGAAAAAGAAAAGAAACAACCAAAGGACTATATATCTTGTGAACACAAGTAGTGAAATTCCTTCCATGCAAATTGTATTTAAAGTAGATTTTCTTTCCTTGAGTGAATGCGTTCAGAACTCATCGAGTGTGTTAAAAGATATGCAGCCAACGAGCAAATTGCTTGACTAACAAGCACAAACCCATAACATCCATAGAAAAAAAACTGAAAAGAAGACTGGAGAGGGATACCAAAACATGCGACGTACGGACAGAAAAAGATAAGAAGCTGCATCTTGTATTTTCTCAACTGAAGCTGATATACTATGCAGCCAAAGCATGTATCAAAGCAAGTCATGAGCATAACAGCTCATAGTCAAAGAACTAAAGCAAAGTACACTGAGAGTTTATAAAGAAATAATTGAAGTGAAATACAATTAGAGAATCACATCTCAAAACCAAAAAAAAAAAATCTTACTCTCGAAGCATGAGGATCTAACAAGTGTAAGGAGAGAATCACATCTCAAAACCAAAAAAAATATCTTACTCTCGAAGCATGAGGATCTAACAATGACCAAGCTAACAATATTCTTGGACTTGCAAGGTCAAGAAAACTCAAGCCATCTTTATGAACTTGAGAAAAGAAGAAAGGATATATAAGAAGGATAAGCTCAGGAGAGATATAGCCATGACGTCTATATTAACATTATCTTTCTCTGTTTTATTTCACCCTGACTCAAGACAAACATCGGTGTTACAGTTCCCGGTTGAGACATGGTGGGAACCAGAGAGCTTGGGGGGGAGGGGGGCGGGGAGGAGACAATAATGGCTCTTGAGATTTGACCTTTTGCTGAACAGTGCCATGAAATATATGAGGAATATGGTGCTGCTATTTATATGCAAAATGTGGACTCAGCATGAAATAAAGGTCGAGGGTATAAATGGCTGTTCGAAAAACAGGTGGGTTGATGTGTCATTTTCCACATAGGAAGGTGCGGCTACAAAACGGACGGGCAATGGGAATATGTTATCCTGGGATTCGGTAGCAAAGCAGCGAACTATAGTATAAAGGCTTTTGAAAAATATTCCCCTGTGTAAATCTGAAACCAAGACTCAAGTTGATGTTCTATAGCTCAAAAAGAAAAGAAAAGAAAAGAAAAATGCTCTCTCATGAGTGCTCTAAAGTAAACTTCAAAGGATATTGAACTTTCTATAATTGATTGATGGATTCTGAAAATTGAGCAATTAAAGATGATTGTTGAATTTGAACTTCATGAATACTTGCAATAAACTTAGAAAACTCTTCGATCTTTATGAATTTGAACTTCAAAAAGATACAAGAGAGGTTAAAGTAGAGAATATGAGCTCTCCCTTTCTCTATATGTGTTTAGAGTTTGTTCCTCTTTAGGCAGGGGTGAGAAAAAAACCGAAAAATCAATTCAATTGAGAAAATTAAAAAAAAATAATTGAAAAAACCAAATTATAAAAAACTGATTAAACCAATTAGAAAAATTAAAAAAACAATTCGGTTCAGTTTCGATTTTAAAGGTCTTTTATGTACTCTATTTTCAATGGGTTTATATAGGACATGTAAGAACCATCATCATGTGATGTTGTCTTTAGCTTCCACAACAATTTATATAACTGAAAAAAATTTATTATTGACATTTAACCCAATTACTGATAATAAAATACCTAACACTTTTATATAGACCTTTTAGATGACATTCATCAATGACAATGAAAGGTGTATATCCATTTACAAACCCTTATTTCATAACTTTTAAGAACATATACACTTTTGAAAATTATACAAGTTTATATAAAATACTTGCTTGCATAGGTGCAATATGTTCATATAAGCCATATAGTCATAGTAACAATTTTTTTAATGTATGATAAGTTGTCATTATAAGCAATAATAGATGACATTTTGTATCCTAAAATGATAACCAATGAAAAATTACATAACATTTAATAATATTTAAGATATGTCTAATTATATTAAACAATGGTTAAATAGAGATTATACTAGGGTTCAACATCAATTGAACAAATTGCAATTTATATTATGTAATTAGAGTTTAATGAACAATGACTAGTTAGTTACAATTAGAGGATTTTAAAAGTTTTGTGATTAAACTTACTTAATCAAGTTAAAAAATGGTAAAAAAATCTAATAGTTATATATCAATTAATCATGTCAAATTTTATCTAATAGTTATATATCAATTAATCATGTTTTTCATTAATATTTTAAAAGTAGGGTTTGATGAGTGATAAGCTAGCCTAAACTCTAAGGTTTTTTTTTTATATAATTTCTATCAATGCATGATAAATTATGTTAACCAATGACTAACACATGTTTGGTTTGTCAATATTGTCATTATCCAAGAAAAAAATGAATTAATTACAGTTTATTCAAGGCTCGGTGTGTATTAATCAAATCCTTAAATATTTTACAATTTATGATTAAATTAAGAGAGAATAATATATAATTTAACCAATTTATAGTATTTAACATAAACAAAACAGACATCCAATAAATTTTAATATCTTAATTTGGTTAAAAAATTAGAGCATACTTGTTAAATAATTCTAAACTTTTAAAGAAGCTTTCGAAAATCTTAAGGGATATCGTTTTCTTCTTCAACCACAAACATAATGAGATTTTAAGAGGTTTGGTTGAAAAATATGATTCATTTAAATAAATCTTTTTTATTTGAAGATTTTTTAGTTTTGTGAAAAAAGAATGTTGCGGAGAGAAAAAAAAATCAGGAGTGGGAGTGAATGTTATTTCATTTTCTTAGGTTTATAGTTTATTATTTATAAAAGTTATATATGGTATTATTTAACATAATTTGAAATTTAGTTTGATTGAGAATACAAAATATAATTTTTTAAAATACCAAAGTAAAACAAGAAATTAATTAAATTATAGGTGTCACATTTGTTTTGGTGCTAAATTCACTACAAAAACTATTATTCCCTCTGCTTCTTTTTTAAATAACAATTATAATCTCTTTATGTCATCATTAAAAGTACAGTGGTCCTTTATATATATATATATATATATATATATATGTATGTATGTATGTACATTAGTTGTTTTAAAAAATCAAACAATAAAAATAACAAAAAAGCTAGTAAATTCAGCACCAACCTCACTTCCAATATAATTTATTAAATATTTTTGAATATGAATGAAGGGGCAACATGAAACTAAAGATAACACCGATTCAATCAATTAGTAGAAAAAACATCGTCGGTCCATTAGTATTTAGGTAGGGGAATTATTTTGTAGTTAATCCTGTATCTTAAGCCCCGTTGTTTTTAAACACACTTTTTTGAAGCTTTTTGGGTAATATTTATTATTGCAACAATTGATTATTTTTCAAAATAGTTTTTGTTTATAAATATATTAAAATAATATTTTATTTTTATTTTTATATAAAAATAGTTTAAAATTATAAAAAATAATTTAAAGTAAAATTTTCCTCTAACACTAAAATAAATTCACTCTCCATCCTTCACCATGCTACGGCTCCCAAATCGAGTTCTCAAGCTATTTTAGTTACGTTTGCATCAGCTGCATTGGGATTCAGGAAGCAAGTAAACAAGTAACCATTAAGATCGATCGCCGTAAACAGGCAATCATCAATGCTCATTATGTCTATTTAAATTTCATGAAAAAATAGCACACATCGAAGCTGGGACTGGCTTCCTTTTTTGCTCTTCTTGTTCAATTTTTTTCTTGCCATTGGGGTGTGGAAATAAGAAATATTATGTATTCACAATGCAAGCGCTGTTACGTTTGACCGCTGATTTAGTAGCTCTACAAATTCCTGATGAATGAAAGCTCTGCCCACCAACCATTTCGAAACCGTCCACATCTCTCTCCCTCTCTCCTCCCTCCATTGCTGACACGGAATGAAAAGGAAAGAACATAAACAGAACCCTAGGAGTTTTAGATACAAAAGAGCCTTTGCAACAAGTTCCACTTTATTGACTGTTCGTTTTGTTCCTGTCTGCATTTTAACAAAGTCCAAAGCCCTAATTCCCATGTCGTGTAATAATTATACACTGCAGTCTCAGAAAATGAATGGTGGTCTGCTCTCTGCATGCATTGTAAGGTCAATCTCAGTATGGGCCTCGTATTTAATGTCCCTTTAGAAAATGAAATTGCCTGTGGAAGGTAGTACTACAAAGCAAAAGGAAAATAGAA